ATCACACCACTGCACTCCAACCTGGGTAGCAGAATGAGATCTTGCCTCAAAAAAAAAAAAAAAAAAAAAAAAAAAATGCAGGGCGAGGTGGCTCACGCCTGTAATGCCAGCTCTGTGAGGCCAAGGTGGATGGATCACTTGAGGTCTTGAGGTCCTCATCCCTAGGAATACCCTCCCCAACCACTGCGTGCCTGAGAAAACTCGAGGCTGCCAAAATAATTTGTTTGTTCCAGCCAACGGCTGAAAATAGGCCTCTGTCTCTCCGCCTCTGTGGGGGGGTAGGGGCCTAACTTGGATAGATGCTGCAGTCAACAAACCAAGGTGGGTTCACGCGGACCCTCCTCTTCCCGCTTTTTACATTTCTCACTTCCCCGACTCCCCCGAGCCCCCGCTCACCACATCCTTATTCCCTAACTCTCCTTTAAAACGCCCAGAGGTTCGGTACTAATCGAAGTTGAGTTCGGTTCACGCTGGACTCTTCTCCCCAGTGCAACGTTCTATCACTGTTTAAAAATCTGTCCTCACCACCTGGGTTTCCGGCTTCGTTTACCTTTGACACCAGCGCCCGGAACTTCGCAGTTTGTTATCACATAAAATAACCCAGTTGCCCAGGCGGCCACTCCCAGGTCCACGTTCCCTCCCCAGCCCTAGGCCGCGCGGGGGTCTGCCCAGGCCGCCGCCGAGGCCAGGCCTTGGGCGAAGCGCGGATAACGCCAGGCCTGCGGCGACCACGCGAAGTGGCGCGGGGCAGTCTGGTGGCCCCGAGCCCAACCTTTAGGAAAGATGAGCTGTGAGGCGTCCTCCTCTACGTCGCCAGCCCGCGGATCGCCGCCACCTGCTGCCATCGCTGAGTCGCGCGCCACCACCAGCGCCGCCGGAAGCGGAAGCGCGGAGCAACGGCCACGGAAGGGGCGCGGTCTCGGGAGGGGCCCCGAGGGGTGGGCGGGGCCGGGAGTGTGAGGCTGGCGGGGCGCAGCGAGGGGACCGGCTGGTGAGGTCCCGGAGGCTCCCCGCCGCCCAGGGCCGCCCTGCACTCCCTCTCCTCCCTCGCGCCTCGCCGCGCAGACGTCCTGGGGTAGGTCCCTAGGCCTTTCTGGGCGGAGAGGATCAGATGAGCTGCAGGAACGCCTGCTGATGGAGAGCAGGGCAGCCGACTCCGAACGTGCCGGGTCGAATTTCTTTCACTGACTTACAATTCTAAAATTTTATTGATTTGTGGTGGATTATCTAATACTTCTGAGCACGCGGACAATGATATTCAGAGGCTTTTACCACACGTCTGTTGGAACATTTGGGTGATGCATAGAAAATTAAGCAAATGACGGCCGGGCACAGTGACTCAGGCCTGTAATCCCAGCACTTTGGGAGGCCGAGGCAGGTGGATAACCTGAGGTCAGGAGTTCGAAACCAGTCTGACCAAAATGGTGAAACCCTGTCTCTACTAAAAATACAAAAATTAGCCGGGCATGGTGGTGGGCGCTTGTGATCCCAGCTACTCGGGAGGATGAGGCAGGAGATTCGCTTGAACCCGGGAGGCGGAGGTTGCAGGGAGCTGAGATCGCGACACTGCACTCCAGCCTGGACGACAGAGTGAGAATCCGTCTCAAAAAATATATTTAAAAAGAAAAAAGAAATGCAAATGAAAAATGATGCTGTTTTCGACACTGGAGAAAACGAAAGGTTGTACAATAAAGGAAATAATCGTAGCTTATTAGTCAACGATATCTTCGCTCATTAGTCAACAATGTTTAGAAGGTCATATTGTAAACTCTGTTGATTTAACAAAAAATGAATTGGGCCGGGCACGGTGGTTCACGCCTGTAATCCCAGCACTTTGGGAGGCCGAGGCTGGAGGATCGCTTGAGCTCAGGAGTTCAAGACCAGCCTGGACAACATAGTGAGACCTCGTCTCTAAAAAATACAAAAATTAGCCTGGCATTGTGGCGCGCGCCTGTAGTCCCAGCTACTGGGGAGACCTAGGCGGGTGTATCGCTTGAGGGATGCAGTGAACTATGATCGCCTCACTGCACTCCAGCCTGGGCAAGAGAGAAAGACCGGCCAAAAAAAAAAAAGGCAAAGTCCAGGCGCGGTGGCTCACGCCTGTAATCCCAGTACTTTGGGAGGCTGAGGCGGGCGGATCACCTCAGGTCAGGAGTTCGAAACCAGCCTGGCCAACATGGTGAACTCTTTCTCTACAAAAAAAAAAAAAAAAAAAAAAAATCTGGGGCGTGGTGGCGGGTGCCTGTAATCCCAGCTACTCGGGAGGCTGAGGCGGAGGTTTTAGTGAGCCGAGATTGCGCCACTGCATTCCAGCCTGGGCGACAGTGTGAGACTCCGTCTCAAAAAAAAAAAAAAGCCGGGCGCGGTGGCTCAAGCCTGTAATCCCAGCACTTTGGGAGGCCGAGACGGGCGGATCACGAGGTCAGGAGATCGAGACCATCCTGGCTAACACAGTGAAACCCCGTCTCTACTAAAAAATACAAAAAACTAGCTGGGCGCGGTGGTGGCGCCTTCTGTAGTCCCAGCTACTCGGGAGGCTGAGGCAGGAGAATGGCGTAAACCCGGGAGGCGGAGCTTGCAGTGAGCGAGATCTGGCCACTGCACTCCAGCCTGGGCGGCAGAGCGAGACTCCGCCTCAAAAAAAAAAAAAAAAAAAAGCTTTAAAAAATTAAAAAAAAAAAAAAAAAAAAAAAAAGCTTTAAAAAATTAAAAAGTAAAATTTTGAAACTAAAAAAAAAGAAATCCTTTAGAAGGCTGTCCTGGGAATCCTGTCTGGCCTGTGCAGCCTGACCTCCTGCGAGGGCTCCTCCACGGCGTCTTGCTGTGCCCGCACTGTGGTCTCCCTCCACCTGAGAAGTTCCCTCCTCCAGAGAACGCTCTCTTTGCTTCAGTCCTGCTTCTCTAAGGGCCCTGCCCAGACCGCAAGGGCTGGCCACGCCCCCTTTCACGTGCTCGGAAAGGCTGAAGGTTCCGGCGGGTTTGATGCTTGCGGGTGTTCCCCTGTACACCCAGCACTGAGTGACAGGACAGATAACCACAGCCGCCCAGCCACTGCACCATGTGCTGGGGTCTGGGCAAAACATTTACTATGTTTACTCTTTTTACCTATGACTTCTCTAAGGTCAGGTTACCTTAGAGATTCACAGTCCTGTCACAAAGTGGGAAATGCCTTATAAATGGCAGGACCAAGATTTGAGCTTAGGCCTGTGGGACTGCCAGCCAGAGAAGATTCCAGCTGTCATCCGCCCTGGGTTATTTCTTTGGTCGGGAGCCAGGATGTGATCACAGAATAGCCATAGTGGGGGGAAGGGGGTCTGATTGGCAGCAGGAACTTGAGGGACTGATGGTGAACTGGGGACCTCTCTTTTCTGTTTTCCAATAGCCTTGAAATTGGAGTTCCCCCCCACCCCAATTTTCCAGGGCATACAGAACCTGTGTGAGTAGAAATAATGCATAAGCGGCAGGAAGAGAGTCCCTCGAATTCTTGTCTGAGCTTGATTTTAATGAGGAAAACAGACACAGAAGGGACAGGACTGGCATTACATTCCTCAGGCTGCTACTCTGATTCTTGTACGGTACTGGTTGAGTCAAGCCCTTCAACCAGCCCACTTAGTAGTTCAGTCAGATTATTCAAGCCAAGGTTACAGACCTAGATTGATCTAGAAGCTGCTGTAGAGCACCTCCCCCACCCCCATTCCCACAATTAGCACCACTGACCAGATCAGATGGTTTATTTCACACTCCAGAAGTCAACAGTGATGGCTAAAATGACAAATTTTGGGCCGGGCGCGGTGGCTCAAGCCTGTAATCCCAGCACTTTGGGAGGCCGAGACGGGCGGATCACAAGGTCAGGAGATCGAGACCATCCTGGCTAACACGGTGAAACCCCGTCTCTACTAAAAAAAAAATACAAAAAAGTAGCCGGGCGAGATGGCGGGCGCCTGTAGTCGCAGCTACTTGGGAGGCTGAGGCAGGAGAATGGCGTAAACCCGGAAGGCTGAGCTTGCAGTGAGCTGAGATCCGGCCACTGCACTCCAGCCTGGGCGACAGAGCGAGACTGTCTCAAAAAAAAAAAAAAAAAAAAAAAAATCACAAATTTTGCTTTATCACCAATCACCCTCTCCCCCAAAATCAGTCATAGGGAATTCCATGCTGTTTAATCACAGGTACTATGGAATGTAATCTCTAGAACATTAATTTATATTGAAGACACGAATTCCTCTTCAGACACACCAGTTATTAACAAAGCCTGTAAACATCTAGCCAGCTGCTGGTAGTCAATTTTCAAAATTACCTAACCCCGACAGCATGTTTTTATCTGTAGCCATGTGTTTTTGAGCTTTGCTAAGGGCCTCAGAATTGAGAACCTTTTAAAAAAAAAAAAAAAAAAAAAAAAATTCTACTTCCTTGCAAATAGTGTCAACTGCTGATCTTTGGGTGGGTTGGGTTAGGGGGCTGGAGCCAGGGAGGGACAAGCAGGCCCCAGGGTGCTGCCCAAATGGAATACTAAATTATTTTTGCCAAGTTAAAAAAAAAAAAAAAAAGTCTAAACTGAAGATGTCCTTTTCTCCAAACACATCTCATCTTTTCTGGGTCATCCAAAAACAAAAACTGGGTAGGTCAGACTGCACCAGGACGTCCCAGGGTCTTTGCTTGAATTAACATCACCAAATTATATTAAATTTTTGTGGTTTTTCCTCTTCAAGAGATTTTGGCTTTTTTGGTAAGGTCAGTCTCATGTGAAATATCTCACAACGAACCTCTCTGGAGAAACCCAAATCTTAAGAGCTAATGACTGCTTGCTCACGGAACTAGGCTCTAAAACACCAGTGGCATTGCCACCAACCACAAAAACATACACAAGGGTGGGGTCACAAGCAGCACAGAAGACATCCAAGCTGACTGAATACTATCTTGTTGCCTGTCTTCAAAAATAAGACAACATACCACCATTCCATATAAATCAAGTCACATGTTTAAAAAAGAGGCAGGACAAAACATTTATCCATTATGATTTATTCTCTACAATACTTCGTTAAAGAGTTCAATGATTTGCACTCAGAAGTTATATAGCCAAGAGGCAACCAAGTGTAATACAAAGAATTGGTCTGAAGTCTTTGCACTGAAGGCCATATAGTCTCTTGCTTCAGGGAAATAAGAACGAAATGAACAAAAAGAACACAGCTCCCTAGGCTCCAGAATCTCAATAGAAAAGAACATCAACAGTTAGTGAAATTGTAGATGTCAACACATCATGGAAAACAGATCTTGTGCAAAATATTAACACCCAGGACTTTTGTATAGATGATTTTTATTATAAACAATAAAATATATGTAATGTAATGTCTCAACTACAAACCTTTCATGTTGAAAGGGTCTCTAACATGAGTTGTTTTATTATGAAGCGAAAAAGTTTTAAGAATCTCACAGTGGAAATAATCCAACACCGACAAACTCTAGTGATCAAAGACATTCTCTTTTAATGGAAAACAAGGACAATTCATAATTACAGAGAGAATGTCCTAGCTGTGGGTATTATGAGACAAGCCAACTTTCCAGACCAAAAGGCACTCACAGCTAGGGATGAAACGAACTCCGAACCAAGCCAGAGAAGTTGGGCTGGTCCTTGAAAACAGTGGTTACCTACTGTCCAGCTTGAGCAGCCCAAGGACAAAGGAAACAGCAGAACACATTCCCTTTTCTTTAAACCTACCATGCACACTGCAGGTACCGGCCACCCTCATCACTGCTTTGGTCAAGCATGCAGAAGGCAGTTCAGTTCCAGTTCGGAGCTGTCTTCTCCCTATGCAAAGCTGCCACATGGATGATCCAGACTTGGTATTTTTCCTGAGAGCCACCTGCTACACACTTTCATGAGGCGACCACAACCGTACACTTCTAGACCGCTTCCTGACTAGGCCCCGTTCAGGACGGATACTGACAATGTCCATTCCTCACGGGGCCAAATGGTTCCCCTTGGTTGACTCCTGAGTCCCCTTGACAAAGCAAGAAGAACCCAAGCGTTTCCATTGCTGGACTGGTGTGGGAGCATGAGGGAATGTGCAGGGAGTAAGGCCTCTTCACTCCAAAACCACTGAGCCCACTTCAGTGTGGTGCTGGGCCTAAGCAGCCCGATTCTTGTGCACTGATTTTTTTTTTTTTTCCCCATTTCTTGGGTTTTAAAATTTTTCTATTCATTTTCTTAAATGGCAGGTTTCCTACCCCCCCTCAATAAAATAAAATAAAATAAAATAACATACATTGGAGAAGACAAATAGGGCAACATTTCTACAAGAAAAAAATCGGCTTGAGGAGCATGGCACTGTAAATGCTTGCATGACCAGTCTCACTGAGCGTGCTCAGGGGTGAAGGTTTAGCACCAATTTTTTTGCTTTTTTTAATCTTTAGAAATTAAACACAACTTTTAACATAGAACACTTGAACAGTAATGAGTGTAGCCCTATGTATCAATACTGTTGTACAAATTGGAGGTGGGTGGCTTAGTCCGGAGCTGACCACCCTGACATCATCAATCCATGGCACCTAAGAGTAACCGTTGCCACGTTTTTAACAAGACATTTATTCTCAGCAGCAGGAAATCATGAAATGACCCCTCCATCTTCATTTACATTGCCAAGGGAAACGCAGCAGGCTGCAGGAACCCACACGGCAGTGAAGGGCCGCGGCCTAGGCACCGTCACCCACGTTTCCCTCGCACATCCCAGGTCCTCCTGAGCAGCACAGGATGGTGTGGAGCACACCCACTCACCCTTGCCCATCCCTTCCCACACACTTGCCAGCGATGCCTAGAACAGCACAGGTGTCCTTTCTCAGACTGTGCCCCCGTCCCCTTCCCCATTCCTGGAAGAAGAAAATGCAGATGATCTTTTGAATATTTGCCCATTTCGGAAAGCCACACCATCACCACATAAACTGCAAAAAATAAATTAAATAAAAACGTTATGTTCACTGGGTGGACACCCAATCCACTTCAAGAGTTCTCTAAGCATGTTGTTGAAAGCCAGTGTCACATCCTTAGGATCCTTCTTCCAACTGGCCACTCTTCCTGTGAATCATTTTAGCAGTGCCTTTGTAACGATATTTTCAAAGCATCTTCCAAGTCCCCTAGTTCTATGAACTTTGCCACCAAATAAGTGAAGAATAGGCAAGGAGAGAGGAAAACATTGCTGACAGCGACTGGGACATCAGCGACAATGGGAAAGGGAAGTATGTCAGATGAAAGTTTGAAAGACCTAGAACAAAATGAGCTATTTGGAAATTTGCCCTGGTGGGGTGAAGATTCCCAGCATGTTAGGCAAGATAAAGATCCACCTTGTGTAATTACACCACTGTTTTCTGAAGTCCTGGAAAGGACAGAAACATCAACAGTCTTCCCACTTCTACAGGCAAACTGGAAAAAGGAACTGCCCTGCTTACAGGCCCCTCGGATGTCTGTCTGAAAAGAAAACCAGCTCAGAGACCCTGGGTTCTCTCCTATGATGTGTCCTCCCCTCCTAAAGCCCAGCTCCATCGCTTGTTTGCACGTGTGTGCTTCTGAGAACCTAGGTCCAGCTCTAGGCACTGCTACCAGCAGAGGAGTGAGGTAGCCGGGCGGTGCAGAAGAGGTCTCTCCTTTGGCACCTGCGTGCAGTGATGACGGCGGGACCTCCCATGCACACTCCATTCCGTTCCTCGGCAGGCTACACCGCGGAGCTCTGTTCAGTCATCAGGAGACTCGATGCAGGAAGAGTGCCAGAAAATCCAACTGAGAGTGGGATGAGGATGAAAATCTTCACGGCCTACTGAGCAATGAGATCTGCAACGCCACCCAAAGGGCTTCCGATCTTGATGTGGGTCTCTGTCCAGGAGCCTCGAAGGACTCGTGGTGCCCACGTCCAACCCTAACGTGGCGTCCACTTATGAAGCATGGAGGTTGTAATCAACTCTTGGTACGCAATAAACTGGAAGTTTAAAAAAAGGAATTTAAAACAACCTAAAAATGTTTGTTGGTCTCCGTTGCCCAGACTGCCACGGGAATACACCTACTTCATCTGGGGAGGCTGCAGGGGTGTGTGTGGGCTCAACCTTCAGGGATCATCCATTTCAGCTTCCAGCGTGTGGCCAACACCCATGTGGCAAATACCAGACAAGGGTCTTCTGAACCCACACAGGAATTCCCACCAGTCATGGAGGAGCCCCAATCCAACAGAACCCCATATTGAGGAAAGGCTGAGATAAGGCTTGGGCCCCTCAAGTTCTGTTTCATTCAAGGTAACCCTACCCTCCCTCAGTCAGCGGGAGGCAGACTTGGCAACGGAAGCTAGCATCATAAAATGGTGCAGTAATAGAAGTAACTGGACCAGGAAGAGGAGGCATCTGCTCCAATGATGTCATAGCCATTGGCGGCCACAGGGGGGTGGGACTGGTCATGCAGCCGTGTGTCAGGAGTAATGATTGTAGAGGGGCGGGGCATGAAGAGTGCCGTTCTGGAAACAGTGCTGTCGGGAAGCAATATACTCTGCGTAACTGATTGTCACCTTCTCACTTCGGTACCTGTATGAGGAAATAGGAAAGGGTATTAGGAACCCCAAACGCTTCATTCTGTAAAGTCACTCAGCAGAGAAAAACCAAAAGCTTATTCCACATTTTGAAAGAATAAAATGGAAGACCAAGAGCAATCTTACTTACAGAAAATGAAAGACAGCACAAGAAAACAATGCTGTTATTACAAATGAACAAGATGAAAAAGCACGATCACAACTCCCCCTGAGAATGTGTTTCAGCACATCCCACCTTGAAACACTACACGTGCTTATCATCAGGCTGCTCGTAAGCAATCCGCTACTGGGGTCTGGATGAAGAATTTCAAGGTCAAATTACACGGGTGGCAGATTGGAAGATGGCTGCACCAAAACCCAGTGCAAATTGCGTATCTACTTTCAGAGTAAATGTGATACATTTGACAGAAATGCAACCTCAATTTGCATAAGAGCAACAAACAAGTTATTATAACTAAAAGGGACACAGATACCTAATTCGGGGTCAGAGTCTGCCGAAGCAGGCTAAAGGATCCTCGGGGTTCTATAGGATAGGATAGGGCTCACTCCCCAGATGAATATGCCATATCACAGGGTCGTCCGAACAGAATTCATAGCACTTTGGCTGTGCTCTGGAAAGAGCCATGAGTCAGGATGCGAAGCATGGGGTGTTACAAACCTATGGAGCCTACTACAGACCACAGGAGCTGGGTGTGACAATCCTTACCCAGAGCCATCTCTTTCCCACTGTAATCACTCCTCCACTGCAAGGTGATTATTCCTGAATTTTGACAGGGAAATGGCTGTTCAAATAAATTATAATAATAATAATAATGCTTTGTATTTGAAGAGTTTTTTGTTTCTTAAAAATTTTTGGAGTCCAAAGCATTTAAAAAACACTGGGTCATCTTCCAAACAGACCTGTGATAGTATATGATTATTCAGCATTTTACAGATGAGGGGCCCAGAAGAGGCCCACAAAAGCCCATAGAAGCTAAACCTCTCAGTGTTCCTGATTTCAACAGGGATGAGAAGAGAACTAACATCTCCTGAACACCTACAATGTTGACTGGCCCCAGGCTAGAAGTTTTCCATCCATTACCTTGGCACAGCCTCAAACAACTCTCAGGTATTATCATTCGCATCTTACAGACAGGGAACAGGCTCAGAGAGGTAGAACAACTGGCTCAGATCACACAGCTAGTAGATGTTGAGCTGGGGTTCCGACTGCAAGTCCGTCTACATTCTACCACGCTAGGCGGCCCCCTCCTAGAAGCGCTCCCCACAAATGAGAGGCATTTCCTTTTCACCTTCTGTAAAAAGCATCTTCTGACTCTCCTGCATCTCCTGCCACCTGACTGCATGTGCGGTCAGAAAGCGGCACCTCAACCGACTCTGGACTTCCAGAGAGAGCCGTCTCCTAACCTCAGTCTCCCCCTCAGCCTCCCAACCACGTGGGTCTGGCAAAGCCAACCACAGCCTGCTCCAACTGTGCCCCCAGCTCAGCTGTGGAGATGCACAGGATGCTGGGAGAGTCTCTGCTTTTGCTGCCACTGCTTCCTCAAAACTTGAACTTCACCCACACTTCTTTGATTTAGGGACATTCACAGAGAAAACTTCTTCCCCATCCCATCAAAGTTATCCTCCATTCAACCCCAACTAAATTGAAATGATAAGGAAAACAAGACAATGGCTTACCTGGTGAGTTTGATCGTTTTTCTGAATTCACTGGTAATTGGAGCTTTAAAGCCACCTTTCCTGAGCAAGGAGTCTATTGTCTGGATCTGATCCCAGTCTGAGGAGGAGAGAGGCCACGCTGAGGTCAATGCACATCTAAGAGTAAGGCATGCTCTTATGTGGCCCGTGCAAAGAAGAGAAATGGGACTCAAGAAGCAGCCGAGTCTGCTAAGGCAGAGGAAGCCCTGGGCACTGACCCCCACGTACCTGACGCCCAGTCTGTCTGACAGTCCCGTGGAGACTCTGAGACATGAGATGATAGCCCGACACATGCCATAATGGCTGTCCCCAGGCTCCCTGCTCCTGCGTCCTTCCTGTCAGATGTTACCCCAGTATAATTATCTAGGAACAAACATGGTTCCAACTTAGACCAGCCTATTGGCCTAGTGCTGGTCCCCAAGGCTGCTCTGTAGGAAGAGAGGAATTTACATTCTGCAACTTCTATTTCTTTGTGTGATCTTCCTTCAATGTGATGATTTTTAGGATTCCTGTTTTGTATGGTAAAAAACTGACAGCGAGAAAGAAGCTAGCTGCGTGTGGTGGCTCACACCTGTAATCCCAGCACTTTGGGAGACTGAGGCAGGAGGATCACTTGAGCCCAGGAGTTCGAGGCCAGCCTAGGCAATATGGTTAAACATCATCCCTACTAAGAATGCAAAAATTAAGTGAGCATGTGGGATGCGCCTGTGGTCCCAGCTACAGGGGGCTGAGGCGGGAGAACCATCTGAGCCCAGGAGGTCAAGACTGCAGTGAGCCAGGATCACACCATGGCACTCCAGCCTGGGTGATAGATAGGAGGAGACCCTGTCTTAAGGAAGAAATAAAGAGAGAAAGACAGGAAGAGGGCGAGGAAGGAAGGAAGGAAAGAGCTGTTCCCTCAGGAAGGGCAGAAAAGTTGTTCATGCATGTACTATTGTGTTATTCGCGCACATTCTTTTCTTTTGAGACGGGGTCTCACTCCTGTCACCCAGGCTGAAGTGCAGTGGCGCAACATTGGCTCACTGCAACCTCCATCTCCCAGGCTCACATGATCCTCCCACCTCAGCCACCCAAGTGGCTGGGACTGTCAGGTGTGTGCCACCACACCCAGCTGAATTTGTATTTTTTGTAGAGACGAGGTTTCACCACAGTGCCCAGACTAGTCTTGAACTCCTGGGCTCTAGCAATCCACCTACCTTGGCCTCCCAAAGTGCTGGGATCACAGATGTGAGCAACTGTGCTCAGTCTCTTTCTTAACAGATAAAACCAACTTCATCAAATTGAAAAACCAAAGAAAATCCCCTAAATTACTATGCTACGTGCTCCAAAGTTTTTATTTTTCCAACCAACTTTCAAATGGCAAAAGTAATTTGATTATTTACCTATTATTTACACCTCCTCATTACAAAACATGGTATGCCTCCTTGTACAGAGTGTTAGGTTTATGACCTAAAAGAGGTGGCTAAAAGGTTTGCTTTTATGCCACATATACACTGCTTTTGAAAAAGTTAAAGCACAAGCAAAAAAAAAACCAACCAGGCAATTGCTTTCCGTGTTTGCTCATGATATATACTTCATTGGGTATTTTTTCTCTATTCTAGGTTCATACCCAACAAATACTGTGTTTCACATATTATTTTCAAAAACAGACTAATTCCAAGAAAGAAGGAAAACTGCACTACGTATCAGAGAATGCACACACAACATGTAAAGGTACCCTTCTAGATATTCTTTTAAAGAGAAAATCTGCTTGATCCACCCTACCTTTAACGTCCCCATCAGAAGAACTTAAATGTTACTGAGTCCTTTTCTTTTTTTTTTTTTTTTGGAGACGGAGTCTCGCTCTGTCACCAGGCTGGAGTGTAGTGGCGCGATCTCGGCTCACTGCAACCTCTGCCTCCTGGGTTCAAGCGATTCTCCTGCCTCAGCCTCCCGAGTAGCTGGGTCTACAGGCATGCACCACCATGCCCAGCTAATTTTTGTATTTTTAGTAGAGACGGGGTTTCACCATGTTGGCCAGAATGGTCTCAATCTCTTGACCTCGTGATCCACCCACCTTGGCCTCCTAAAATGCTGGGATTATAGGAGTAACCCACCACGCCTGGCTGACTACTGAGTTCTTTAAAAAACAGTAGGGACTATGTTTACACCCTTTGCCATGTATAACATTGTTTAATGATTTGTCATCCAAAGTTCGATACCTACTGAATTCTACAATATGGTCAGGTTGATTCATAGTATTTTGCTACAATTGCCACTGTAGTTCAAGGGGCCAAGAAATAAAACTATTTATTGAAAAGAAGTGTTTGAAATAGCAGGCGAGTAAGTGATTTATTTACCCTTTTTCTTTTCCCAGCTCCTAGACCTTTTTGGAAATTTACCCTTGGTTCTACAGGAATTTGACAGGTATTAAGAGGCAGAAAGGCCCTCATTCTTAGTTGCAGTTGGGCTGAAAGATGACATACTTCACTTTCTTGCCCTTTAATTGGCACCACTGCGAATGATACTTGTCATTAAAATCCCATTCATCCAACTCACCTTGTTCCTTAGCAACCTCAGGTAAATATGTGGCTGTACGTTTGACACCTTTTTCATTAATGAATTCAATTCGAATCCCATGGACCCCTACCTATAGAAAAAAGTACAACCAAGTAAATGGCATTTACTTACTCTAATGGAACTTCAGTCCCCACATATAAATCCACATTATTTCCTGACCAGCTTAACACAGGCCTAGAAAAGGGAGAGTTTCTTGCATTTCATGACTAATTCTATCTCAGGAGGTATAGAGGCCAAAGAAAGTTCTGCTTTTAGGGAAGGGTCGAGAGTATGTGTAGCCACCTCTGAAAATATGAAGGTAGGAGAAATGAATTCTTTAAGTAACTCATCCAGGAATTGTGAATGTGTTACCTTGACCCTATCCCATTAAGTCAGCATGCCACTAGATTTTTATCTGGGGTCATGATCCTTCACATCTGATTCCTAATAAAAACTTTTACTCAGCCAGGTGCAGTGGCTCACGCCTGTAATCCCAACAATTTGGGAGGCCAAGACCGGTGGATTACCAGAGGTCAGGAGTTTGAGACCAGCCTGGCCAACATGGTGAAACTCCATCTCTAGTAAAAAAACACAAACGGTTGGGCACGGTGGCTCACGCCTGTAATCCCATCACTTTGGGAGGCCGAGGCAGGTGGATCACGAGGTCAAGAGATTGAGACCATCCTGGCTAACACGGTGAAACCCTGTCTCTACTAAAACTACAAAAATTAGCTGGGTGTGGTGGCACATGCCTGTAATCCCAGCTACTCAGGAGGCTGAGAGAGGAGAATCGCTTGAACCCAGGAGAGGGAGGTTGCAGTGAGCCGAGATTGCCCCACTGCACTCCAGCCTGGCAACAGAGTGAGACTCTGTGTCAAAAAAAAAAAAAAAAAAAAAATTAGCTGGGCATGGGGTGGTGGGCACCTGTAATCCCAGCTACTTGGGAGGCTGAGGCAGGAGAATCCCTTGAACTCAGGAGACAGAGGTTGCAGTGAGCCGAGATCACGCCACTGTACTCCAGCCTGGGCAACAAGAATGAAACTCCATCTCAAAAAAAAAAAAAAAAACAAGCAAACAAAAACTTTTACTCCAAGGCTTGCCAAGAGAGATCTGGAATATTTTCTTTTACTCCATTATTTCTTATTAGACATGGAGAAAGATGTAAACCAAGCAGACTAGGGAGAATCAGGAGAAGCAAGCCTTTACACTGACATTTCTGCCTACTCTTGGTACAGGAGCACCTCTTCTGTCACCTATGTTGCCCACAATTGGTTCCAAACTGAGCCTTCACATTCTTATGCCCTCTCTCTCAATGAAGGAGATACATTGCCATGTACTAACCCGAACCCAAATGCAACGAGAGATGCAGAGTTCCAAATGCGGCTGTTCTCACCTCCCAGTCCAGGTAATCACTGGCATCCTCAAAGTTAGTAAGGAGGGAGACAGAGCAGAAAAGTTTAGGCAGCTCCTCTCGGGTCAGGGGGGGAAATCGGCTGTCCTTAAGTGCACTGGAGGGGGACAGAAAACACAGGTAAGGCTGCTCTGGAGTCAGGAGCCAACATCAGGTGCCACAGAGCCCCCATATTTATGAATCTTGAGCTATTCAGAGAGTATCTATTGTTCATCAACACTAACATATTAAAAACAACTCGATGCTATTAACTGTCTGTACTTCAACTGATAAGTGACTCACCAGATTAAGCCCCTTACATGTCCTGATTACCAAAAAGAGAAAACTCAACATACATCACTTAGAAGAAATAAAGTCAGGCAGCTATTTCTGATTCTAGCCAATTTATCTACAGTTCTTAACGTCTGGTGTCATTACCTGGTTAACGTGTATTCCCTGAGTCCTGAATGAAGATTCATGGCTGAGAAGGTCCCAATGCAGCCACGAAGCCGCTTGTCCCGCCCTGTCTTCCACGTCACAAAGAGCGGACTAAAAAAAGCAAAACACAAAACATTCTCCAGCCCCAAATTAATCATGGATAAGAACAAAACCTTTTGGCTTTGTCCCTATTCATTTCTGTTATTGCCAAAAATCCCTCTTTTCGGACTTGCCAGCTCCCCAAAGGACTCTCTGCCTTTCTGAAAACGGCACAGCCGCTGGCGGGAAACAGGACACCTACGAGGCACCATGAGGAGAGGCTCCGCGTGGCGGTGCCTGTGTTCCCTGCTGACAACTTTAACTCACTCTGCTGCCCAATGGACATGCTCCTTTCCTCTTTCTCTACCCAAGACTCCACTTTTTCTTCCAACTCTCCAGTTTCCTCTTCCCTGAGTCTACGTATGCAGGTAGCCATGCTCCCCAGCTGTGTCTTTCATGACGACACACCTCACCTGCACAGCCCCCTTCTCATCTGTAATCCCATGTTGTTGTTCCATGATCATGTTTCATGATCATGTCCGCCCCTGACAACTACAAATATCTCTGAAACTACAAATATCTCTGAAAATAGATTTTCAGAAAAGAAAAAAGTTCCCTCAAAAAACCTTTTTTAATTTTTAAAAAAAGATTTTAAAAGGCCGAGTGGACAGGCCGGGCGTGGTGGCTCAAGCCTGTAATCCCAGCACTTTGGGAGGCCGGGACGGGCGGATCACGAGGTCAGGAGATCGAGACCATCCTGGCTAACACGGTGAAACCCCGTCTCTACTAAAAAATACAAAAAACTAGCCGGGCGAGGTGGCGGGCGCCTGTAGTCCCAGCTACACGGGAGGCTGAGGCAGGAGAATGGCGTGAACCCGGGAGGCGGAGCTTGCAGTGAGCCGAGATCCGGCCACTGCACTCCAGCCCGGGCAACAGAGCGAGACTCCATCTCAAAAAAAAAAAAAAAAAAAAGAAAATATAAAAATTGGCCAGGCGTGGTGGCAGGCGCCTGTCATCTCTGCTACTTAGGAGGCTGAGGTGGGAGAATCGCTTGATTCTGAAAGGCAGAGGTTGCAGTGAGCCAAGATTGTGCCACTGCACTCCAGCCTTGACAAGAGTGAGACTCTGTCTCAAAAAGGAAAAAAAAAAATAGATTAAAAAAAGAGATGGGGGGGTCTCACTATGTTGCCCATGCTAACCTTGAACTCCTGGGCTCAAACGATCCTCCCACCTCAGCCTCCTGAAGTGCTGAGATTACAGATTACAGGCATGAGCCACCGTGCCCAGCCAAGAAACCTTTTTATTAGCAGTTGCCATTTTCTGTTTCTAGGCCAAAGTCACACTTCATTAGGCTATATCAGATTGATAGTGACAGATTTTTTAGCAAGAGGTTTCAAGGCCTGTTCCCTCTTCCTGAAGTCTCTCCACACTAATGCCCTTACCTCTTGGATTCTTGAGTTAATAATTTCTAGAGGCAACTTAAGTTTTCAAAGTTATCTGCTTTGATCACTGTCACAAAGGGCCCCACAGCAGCTCTCCCGTCTAGCCATCTTTTCCTTCCAATAAAGCACCTGCACAGCACCAGCCAATGCTGCAGCCCCAAAGCCTACTGAAAAATCCTTCAAGACAAGGCCTCCATTGCCTGCAGGATGGAAATGCAAAGCCCTGAATATGACAGCCTAAACCTTCCCTAAACACCCACATCACCACCTGTTCTTCCAAACTGTGTCTCTCTCTTACATGGGGCACCCTGGATCTCACTCAGGCTTGGGATCTCCACCTGCTCAGTCAGGTGTTTTCCAACCACGTTACCCCAGGGTGACAGTTCCCAAAAAACCGAGCACACCTCCCTCCACATTTCCTCTCCTCTGATGCACTCACAGAGAACGACTTCCCCTTAGCTCTGTGCGTGTGTGCTCTGCCGACCTGACAGGTCTCAGAGAACAACTCCCCTTAGCTCTGTGCGTGTGTGATCTTAGCCCTGTGCGTGTGTGATCTTAGCCCTGTGCGTGTGTGATCTTAGCCCTGTGCGTGTGTGATCTTAGCCCTGTGCGTGTGTGATCTTAGCTCTGTGCGTGTGTGATCTTAGCTCTGTGCGTGTGTGATCTGCCAACCTGAGTCTCGCCCTGTGCGTGTGTGATCTTAGCCCTGTGCGTGTGTGATCTTAGCTCTGTGCGTGTGTGATCTTAGCTCTGTGCGTGTGTGATCTGCCAACCTGACAGGTCTCCCAAGGGAAGAGGCTCCTTTTCTTCACACCCTCTCTATGCCCCAGCCAAGGTTTTGCAGTCTCTGTATGCAACCAACAATTGAGGAACGAATAGTCTCATATCAACGAATACTCCAAAAGCATGCCCCCAAAACAAAAATAAAAAAACAGCAATGCTCTTCAAAGCCAGCTCAGAGTGGCTTCCAATTCTGAGGAAGAAGAATATGCTAGCATGGAGTTTTTCAGTTTACTTTATACATATTGCTTATTTAAGTCACTGAGACCAGCAGAGGTCTTGGGACAAGCAACAAAGAATTTTCAGCTAAAAATACTGAAGCAGATTCTGATTTTCTTGATGGGATGTCAGTGGCCCTACAGCTTTACCAAGGGATTTCTCATGAACAAAGTGAGGGGCCCCTGTCAACCAACTCACAGATCCCAATGAATGAGAGCTCCTAGTCTCCAGCCTAGCCCTCAGACTTCCAACTCACCTGGACTTCAACACTATGGGGGTCCCCAGTGGTATGGCGTGACTTCCCCACTTGCGAGGTTAAATGACCTACCCACTGCCACGTGAACTAACAGAAGAGCCAAGAATGAACTCACTTGATTTCCAGAACATTAACAAGCCTACAGCCTCCTCCAAATGTGAACTGTATTTAAAACTGTCTGGACATTTCTTATCATTCTCTTCCCATTACCCTTTCCTCAAATGATAATAAAGATTTCCAAGCAGCAGATCTCTCGAATCACCCCAGAAAGATGTCGCCATGCCTTCCTCAGTGGCCCCAGCACCTGATTTACTCACTAGGGGTCATTGGTGAATCTAGGAAGTCGTGGCTGTGGGAAGCCATAGAGGTGACAGTAGAGTACGTCGAAGCAGTAGCAGCACATCTCCGCGGTCACCACCAGATTCTTAGTGGTGTTGGCAGTTCCATTAGGCCGGGGAAGAGGGCTCAGCGCTCCCGATGCGGGATTCATTCGTGTGATGGGAGAGTTTCCAGGTCCCAGAGTTAAGTCTGACACATTCTCCCGTCCACTGCTGCTGTCCACATGCTGGTGGTTTTGAAGAGGTCCTGAACTAGAGCCGGGGACAGTTGTGGACTGATTCCCGTGACTGTGCGTTCCACTTCCAGATAATTTGGGCTTCTTGACCCCACAACAGCCTGCTGCCAACTTGGGCTCGAGTGGGGGAACACAACGTCTTTTTCCCATCCTGATTCAGTGCTCGAGGTCTGGAATGCTGCAGAACCCTAACCAAAATGAGGAAGTTAAGCATTAATTGGAATGGTTAGTTAAAAGGAGAGAAAAAACATCAAAGAGAAAGAGTCTGCGTGGACCAGCTAAGAGCTGTCAAATTCCTTCTCCCACTGCAACCTCCAGGTCACGTGACCAAAAAGGGTCACAGACCAGGAGAAGAAACCCCTAACCTTTTCCTAAAAGAGAACTAATTTTTATTTTCCACAAAATTTCCATATGACTACCGTGGCTGGAGGCAGGCACCAAGCAGCTCCCTGTTCCCCAAGAGTCCCCAGGGCAGAAGACAGGGTGGGGCAGCAGCCAGCGTGAAGCTCGCCGAGGACATTTCCAGACCGCCTGGAGGACTGCGCACGACCTGTCAGACTCATCATCATGATGTATCTACCTTTTTTAGAGACTCCAAATTGAACCATCCTATTTTTAAAGAACTCCAGAGGAACTTCCATGATTTTCCTTGTTAACCACATCCTTGTGCATTTTCCTCATCACTAACTACAATCTATCTTCGTACTTTCAGCCCCAAACCACAGCGAGGATGAAAAGCAGTTGGCTGTCACTCTGAAGAGGGCACATCTTCTAACACAAGGCTCCCACCTTTCTGTCTTTGCAGCTCTCCTCCTCCAGCCCCCTCATTCTCTTTGGTTCCCCTCTGAACTGACTCCAATTTCTATACATCTCCCTATCCTTTCAAGACCCCATTCAAAAAACCTGCAACCTAGCAGAAACCTTTATCCACACGAATGACCCAAGCTTCACAGACCTTTTGTGAGGTGGCGGTTTCTGCCCTGTCATAGCCAGGCAGACAGAGACAAAGCCACCCAGCTTAACAAAATGTGGTGTCACATGGGCTGGGCAGCCACAGCCTCCTCCTAGCTGATGATGCGAACGGAAAGAAGGGATTTTTTTTAATTTTTTTTTTTTCTTTAAAAGCCCGCGGTAAAAATGTTTGGCCATAACACGACTAAGGTCCTCTCTGTTGTCCGAAAAGTGTCACTCCTCAACAGAATTAGGAAAATAGAGCCTAGTTATTTCAACGTTGACAACAGTGAAGTTTCTAACTACAGAAAACTAAGCTTTCTCTCGAGTCATTGTATGTTATTGTTTTGGCCAGAAGGAGAGAGAAAGAAGGGGAAGTGGGGGTAGGGAGAGAGAGAGAGAAGAGAGATTTGCACTGTCCTACCTAAATTTTCCCATGTGATTTGGACATGTAGTGTATAATTATCTTTTTAGGCGTTGATCTACAAATAGTATTTCAGTTGTAAACTCTAACCTTTTAAATTTCAAATCAAATATTTACACACCATTTGCAATGCCATTATTTCCAAACAACTTGTCACTTTACGTTGAATGATACAAACATTTTATAAGGATTATTTATGTTCTTCATATATGCTGATTCATAACAAAATATACATCTAGGACATTTCTGATTGAGATCAAAGCCCTCTGTGGCCCAAGAATAATAGCTTGTACACTTAAATGTCTTGCTTGCAACAGGGGCTTTCTCTGTCTCTCTCTTTCTTTCGAGAGACAGGTCTCACTCTGTCACTCAGGCTGGAGTGCAGTGGCACAATCATAGCTCACTGCAGCCTCCAACTCCCGGACTCAAGTGATCCTCCCGCCACAGCCTCCCAAAGTGCTGGGACTGCAGGTACGTACCACTATGCCCAGCTACTTTTTTTTTTTTTTTTTTTTGAGATATGGGGGTCTCACTATGTTGCCCAGGTTGGTCTCAAATTCCTGGCCACAAGCGAGGGATCTCCCACCCCTACCCCAACCCCACCCACTGGCTGGACACGGTGGCTCATGCCTGTAATCCCAGCATGTTGGGAGGCCGAGGCAGGAGGATCCCTTGAGCCCAGGAGTTTGAGACCAGTATAGGCAATATAGGGAGATCCAGTCTCCAAAAAAATTTAAAAAAATTAGCTGAGTATGGAGGCACATGTCTGTGGTCCCAGCCACTCGGGAGGCTAAGGTGTGAGGACTGCCTAAGCCCAGGAGGTTGAGGCTGCAGTGAGCTATGACCATGGCATTGCACTCCAGCCTGGGCAACAGAGCAAAGCCCTGTCTCAAAAAAAAAAAAAAAAAAAAAAAAAGGGTTGGTGGGGGCGGTGCAGTGTGTGGTGGGGATCCTCTCACTGTAGCCTCCCCAGGAGCTGTCAGGTGTGAGCCACACCTGGCTTCTTTTTGAGAAAGTCTTATTTACTCGATATAATAAAACCTCCAATGACTACACTGTTTCTAAGCATGGATGTCACTGTCTTATTTGGACTGTTGAGACAGGAAGCAGAGTGTCTTGGTTTTTTAAAATGCTGCCTCCAAAGCCAGGTGGCCTGGGCTCAAATCCTGGTTCCTCCACGATTAACCTCTTTCTGCCTCAGTTTCCTCAAAACAGGAATAATAATAGTATTTGCTTCCTAGGGTTGTGAGGTGAATTAAGTAAGTTTAATATATGTAAAGAGGCTCACGCCTATAATCCCAGTACTTTGGGAGGCCGAGGTGGGCAGATCACCTGAGGTCGGGAGCTCGAGACCAGCCTGACCAACATGGAGAAACCTCATCTACACTAAAAACACAGAATTAGCCAGGCATGGTGGCACATACCTACAATCCCAGCTACTCGGGAGGTTGAGGCAGGAGAATCACTTGAACTCTGGAGGCAGAGGTTGCAGTGAGCCGAGATCGTGACATTACACTCTAGCCTGGGCAGTAAGAGCGACACTCTGTCTCAAAAAAAAAAAAAAAAAATATATATATATATATGTAAAGGGCATAAACTAGTGACAGGCATGTGGTAAGCATCCATACTTCCAGCTGCTCTTATCATCTGGGTTCTCGGTCCACTGTTCTCTAGGAGGGCAACTCCTGGGGGACCAGTACTTGGCTGTGCACTCTGGGCTTACAGAACTTGCACGGAGCACACACTCTTCAAACAGGGTTTCACTGAATCCTCTAAAGCACTCAACAAGGCAGATGATGCTACCACCATTTTACGTTTTACATCGTCCACACGGCCACTAAGTGGCGCGCTAGATTTTTTGTTTTGTTTTGTTTTGAGATGAAGTCTCACTCTGGTCCCCAGGCTGGTGTGCAGTGGCGCAGTCTTGGCTCACTGCAACCTCCGCCTCCCACGTTCAAACAACTCTCCTTACTTGGCCTCCCGAGTGGCTGGGACTACCGGCACGTGCCATCACATCTGGCTAATTTTTGTATTTTTAGTAGAGACGGGGTTTCACCATGTTGGCCAGGCTGGTCTTGAACTCCTGAATTCAGGTGATCTGCCCACCTCAGCCTCCCAAAATGTTGGGATTACAGGCATGAGCCACCGCACCTGGGCCAGAGCTAGGATTTAGATCGCAATCTATGTATCAGGCTCTATGGCCTGGAACTACAAGAAAGAATGAGTCTTGCCAATAATATCCACTGGATTCAGTCTCTTTCTTCAGGGCAGGATTAAAAAAAAAAAAAAAAAAAATTAAATTCTGGACTGGCCGTGGGGGCTCACACCTATAATCTCAACACTTTGGGAGGTCGATCGAGGTGGGAGGATGACTTGAGCCCAGGGGTTGGAGACCAGCCTGGGCAACAAAGTAAGACATCTGTCTCTACATAAAATAAATTAGCTGGGCATGGTGGCACGCACCTATGGTCCCAGCTACACAGGAGGCTGAGGCAAAAGGATCACTTGAGCCCAAGAGACCCTGTCTCAAAATAAATAAATAAAAATTTAAATTCTAGGGTATGTTAAGAACTAATCTAACAGCTTATAGAATCTTGCCAACAAAAATGGAGCTGGGAAAAAACCATGAAAAACCAAGCCCAAAGTCAACATCTCAGCCATCACCTGGAAAATTGTCCCCTCATCCCAGGGTCATTTGAACCCACGATGGGTGTCACTGGCCTGAGTTCTCACTTGACTCTACTTTGTGTGCAACTGTGGGCAGCAAGGTAGAGATACAGGTTGGATGAAGCAGCAGGACTGTATTCCCAGAGAGCTGGTGTTTTAACAGGGCCCTGAGGCTCTGCACCTCTAGAGCCTCAGAATTCAAAAAATCAAAGGGGAAGGATAAAATGCAAAAGCTAAAAAAACCTTTCATCATTCTCATTACACCAAACCACACCTGAAGGAAAAGCTACATGTCGTGAGATGGAGGCAACAACTCAGACATTCTCTTCCAGGTGGTATCAGTCACCTGACTGGTGAAACATCCCATAACAGAGCAACAGAAGGGATTTTCAAACCACACCAATGCAGATGAACTCAAGTCTAGAAGAGTCTGCCTGCACACCACGTACAATCACTGACCGCAGTGGCAGCTGCTGTCTAGTGTTTACAGTTCCCCCACATCTTCCAGCTGTGACTTGCAACGAACAGAACCAACCACAATCTTTGGCCCTTTAGACCCAAGCATTTCTCTGGAGGCCACTAAGTAACCAATTCAACTGACAGTCTCAGTTGAGTCTTAGTGACCAAGAGCAGAGTTAGATATTTTCTGCATCAAAAATATACTAAAGGCATTTCTTATAAAGCTTATTCCATAAATTCAAATCTATGGGAAATTTCGAACATGAACAAAGTGGAGAAAACCGTATACTCCACAAATAGTATAATAAGCCCAACATTTAAAAATGTCCAACCTGTGGCCAATCTTACTTCATCTACACCTCTGAGCATCACCTACTCTCTCTACCTCTCATCCTTCTACACAATTATTTAAGGCAGGTTTTTGAGGGGGCCAATCTTCTACTTATCTGCCAACAAAAAGCAAATATTAACTTGATATAGTTTGCGTATTTGTTGCTGCCCAAGTCTCATGCTGAACTGTAATCGCCAATGTCAGCTGTGGGGCCTGGTGGGAGCTGACTGGATCACGGGTGGATTTCCACGAATGGTTTAGGACCAACCTTTAGTGCTGTACTCCTGAGAGTGATGACAGTGAGTGCCTTCTCTCAAGACATGGTCATTTAAAAGTGTGTGGCACCTCCCCGCAACTCTCTGTTGCTCCTGCATTTGTTATTTACGTGCCCGCTCCCGCTTTGCCTTCCGCCATGAGTAAAGCTCCAAGGCCTCCCCAGAAGCAGATGCTGCCACGCTCTCCGTACAGCCTGCAGAACGCTGAGCCAATTAAACCTCTTTTCAAAAATAAGTTACCAGTCTCAGGTAGTTATAGCAATGCAAAAATGGCCTAATATATAACAACTACAGGCAAAGAATGTAAAGTAAACCAAGCTGCTGGTAATAAACAAGGGCTTCTTAAACATCAACCACTATCAATGAATTTCATCAAAATGTTCTCTTTAGGTTCGAGATTCTCTAGTCCTATTCCAACAATGTAGGTGTCTCATCACAACTAAGTAGTTCCCGACTCGGCTCTCAGCACTGCCCTGCAATGATCAAGAGACACCTGGTCCTCCAGCAGCCCGGCTTTCTGAGTACAGGGTAAGGTACTTCAAACTAATAGCGTTCTAATAGATCAGACTATCTGTCTGGTCAGCTAAAAACAAATGCTCCACTGAATGCCATGCTCTACCTCTTCTAAATCTGTGCCCGCCAAACTTCCCTGCCAAACTTTACAAAAACGACCAAGGACGGTACTGTGAGCACAGTACAAATTACCGTGAAGCTGGTTCATCTGAAATAAGAGAAGCCAGGCGCAGGAGCTCACACCTGTAATCCCTATGCTTAGGGAGGCAGAGGCAGGTGGATAGCTTGAGCCCCGGAGTTTGAGACCTGCCTGGGCAACATAATAAGATCCCATTCTCCACAAAAACGGAAGGAAAAAGACAAAAAAAGTTTGAAATCAGGTGTAAAAACCTTTGCTTTATAAAAGTATATATAACCAAGACCCTTTCAGGACTTCAGCTGGTTACTCGTACAAAGCTCATCTCAAGGGCCATGATGAGAGTCCACAGTAGCGATCCCCTTTTCTTCCTGTTCATCCATTAGGACCACCAACAAGAATAAGCTAGTTAAAACTAGGTTTCCACTAGATGGAAACAATACTCGTGCTGCAACAAAAAGCTGGCAGAAATCACAGGAACCACTGTTTTACCACCTCTTAAGACCTCCTAACCTTGCAGGTGTCAAATCAAGTGTGTCCTCAGTGCTTAAAGTCACCAGCCTTTCTCAGTTATGCTGCGGTGTCCTCATCCGACCTGTGCTTGCAGGGACGTTCTCTCCTTTCCACCTGATGTACACACTCAAGGGGGCCCTGAACTTCATGAGGGCCCGCAACGAGGGCCACTCAGTGACTCTTCCTCCCCCTCTGTGGGGACCCTGAGCACCGCCCTGCTATTTGGAGCAGCTTACAACTTAAAACCCAGCACTGAACTCAGCATCACCCTGAGCCTGAGAGGCTGCGGGGCATCTGTTTCATCTTTCACGGCACCTAACATGGTGCCCTACATACAGTGTACACACACACACACACACACACACACTGCTGATCGTCACCAACAATCTTATCTACACATCCAGTAATTTAAGTTTGCCTGCTGACAGTGGAGTATCGCAGAACCTGCGGATGACTGAATTATAAGGGCCTATTCTTATCAACAATCTCCATTCTATTCAGCCTAAACCAAGGGATAGTTTAATAATTATTCATAGCAAAATGGATAGCCACTGTGGATAATTCATTTTAAAAATTAGGTCAACTATCACCTAAATTCACTTCTTGGTCCAATGTATGCTGGCAGCTGTCGTCCTTAACAGTAGCTGTCAGTTCTGGAACTGGTTTTGGGTGCCATTTCTAGGTGGTTCAAGGCTTTCTTTTGATAGACCAGACAATCTAAACTGTGGTTGGGAAGAACTATTTGTTCCTTTTAGAATGACGGAGCACTTTCAGAACTACCCACTGGAGAGTTTATTTGCCTGGGTGGCCACTTGTGGTTTCAGGGATTAATACAAACTATTTCTCATACACTGCTAGTATTTACAAACCAGGTATTGAGACTGCTATTGACATGAAGATGTGATGATGCCCTCACTCACGTGTCTGGCTGGGCAAAAGGACCTTCCTCTCTCACTGCAGGTCCCTTCCAAGGCTAAGTCCACTGAAAACAATAATTCACATTTTCCAGAGCAGCTCCCCTCTTCAGGGGACAGAGCCTAGATTCTGAGGTTACAATCTCAGCTCAGATCCCAAGTCTGACTTGCCACGTACCAGCTACGCAACTCAGGCAAGTTTTCACATCTCTGTGGACTTGGGCGCCTGCTACCACAGAGGTTTATTTGTGAGCTGTGAAAGACACGAAAACCACCTGGCAGTTCTGTGGCACATAACTACTATCTAGTAAGTGTCTGCTGTTACCAATACTACTTTACCCCATGGATAAAAGTAGCGTCGGTTATAAAAATAACACAGCTCTGAGTGCTTACAATTTCTAGAGAAATAACAGCCTCATAATACAATTCCATTAAGAATGACCTTGTAATCTGAAAGATCATATTATTAACGTGGGATTATTACTCCCATGACCTTGATGGTTTCCTTCTTTGGAGAGCAATGGCTTCTAATTAATCATCCACTGCTTCTTTTCATTCTGAGATGCCAGAAAACACAGAGAAAAATACTTGGCTGCCTTGAGAGTTGTACAGTTTTATTCCACTAGAGTCCTCATTTAAGCTTACAGACATACACTAAAAAAGAGAGTAAATTTGCTAAATATGCTATTATTGTAGACATCTTGATAGATATTGAATACCAATTTAAAAAATTGTTGTCAAAGTAGTTAGGTTTACACAACCATCAGATTAAAGTATCTAGAAAAGCCTAAAGGTGGGGGGAAAAAATCTAGATTCACCTTCTGAAGACATGCCTCAAAACAGCTTATTCGAGGGCATGACCTCATGAAGATTTGAGAGGTGGGAAAAAGGCCAAGAAAAAGGGGGTCTCTGCATTTTCTTCTGTTATCATTTAGCATTCAGATGTTTGCTCAAATCAAGTTTTCCACAGAAGGGAACAAACTGTTGTTTCCTTTGTGACACAGACTTGAGTTGAAATTCAATTTAATAATTATATTATGGGTACTGAAATGGCACCTGAGCTATAATTCTGTCCTACTTATGGAACTATTCCAGGAAACAGTCAGAAAAACCCACATACATTCTGGTAACCGTACCAAATAATCATTTATTTTTGAAACCCCCAGCATACACACACCCAAAACATTTGGTGTGTGAAAATTTTCCCCCACAAATCACAGACCTACCTATATAATTGTTCCTTTTTGTTTTGGAGACAGGGTCTCCTTCTGTGGTCCAGGCTGGAGTGCAGTGGTGCAATCACGGCTCACTGTAGCCTTGAACTTCTGTGCTCTAGAGATCCTCCTGCCTCAGCCTCCCAAATAGCTGGGACCCCTGCCATGCACCACCACACTCGGCTAATTTTTAAAATTTTTTCCTTTTGTAGAGACGGGGTCTCGTTATGTGGACCAAGCTGGTTTTGAACTTTTGGCTTCAAGCAATCCTCCTGCGCTGGCTTCCCAGTTTTGGGATTTACAGGCACGAGTGACTGTGCCCGGACTTTTTAAAAAAAAGAAAAAAAAAAGAGATGAAGTCTTGCTATGTTGCCCAGGCTGAAGTGGCTATTTACAGGGCTCAAGCGATCCTCCTGCCTCAACTTCTCAAGTTGCTGGGGCTCCAGATGCATGCCACCATGCCTGGCAACAATTGTTTTTAAGCTTTATAGATTTTTAAAAACATAAAGAACTCTTTTTTTTTTTTAAAGACGAAGTCTTGCTCTGTCGCCAGGCTGGAGTACAGTGGCATGACCTCGGCTCACTGCAACTTCCACCTCCCAGGTTCAAGTGATTCTCCTGCCTCAGCCTCCCCAGTAGCTGGGACTACAGGCACGTGCCACCACGCCCAGCTAATTTTTGTATTTTCAGTAGAGACGGGGTTTCACCATGTTGGCCAGGATGGTCTCGATCTCTTGACCTCGTTATCCACCCAACTCGGCTTCCCAAAGTGCTGGGATTACAGGCGTGAGCCACTGCGCCTGGCCAGAACTATACATTTTCATTTCAACTTAGCTTAAAGAAAAACATGTATCTAGGAGTCAAGACTTTTTTCACCTCCCCTCTGTTTTCTATGTGACCTGTAGCAAGGTGCCAGATTTTTCTGGGCCTCAGTTCTTTCATTTGTAAAATAAAAACATTTGTCCCCTACATCCCTCAGAGGGGCTGGGGGGCTTCACCGAGAAGTGAAGCACTCTGCAAACTCTCTCCTAAGTGTTAGCATACTATCATTAATCAACTTAAGAGGACAGAGCCGTCATAATTTTTCCCCAGAACTTTGTTTCAAGTTTACAGTGAAAAATTTTAATTATTTTCAAATCTGTGATGGGATTTTCCGGGAAATATCATCACTATTGCGAATTTCGGACAAAATGTTCCAAAAGTCTTTGAGGACTGAAACTACAGAAAAGAGAACCAATAACTGACTTTGATCAGGAACTGCATTAACCTCTGAGTTAATTACCCTAAAAGTTAAGACAACCTTTGTGGTCGTATTGAGAAACGAATTTGGGAAGGGTGGGGAGCCAGATCTTACACACTAGAAATATGAAGGAAAGATCATGCCACGCCACCACCTAGCTCACTCTAATGGGGGTACAGAAAACAAACTTGCATATTTAAATTATTTTAAAAGGGAGTAAGTGGAAAAACTTCATCAACATTAGGATCCCCTCACGGAAGTAGAAAAATACGAATGAACAAAATACACCTACATCCCAAAATCCAAGCACATGCCTAAAACCAAAAACTACAATGACGCTCTATTCTAAATATGTCCAAGATAATACTCACTGAAAGCAGAAAGTTTGTATTGCCAGAGGAACAGCTACAACAGAGGAGGGGAGCTATTTTGTCTCTGGAATGAATTTTCTTCCTTCGGATTCCATTCCTTCTTCCTGTACCTAAGACGGAAATGGCAGGTGCAGTGAACAAACACCCAGGTAGGGCAGAGGTAAGATACACACGGTTTCTGAAAAACCACAACTCCACAGAGCAATTTCGGGGCGGGGGGTGGGGGGCGGGCACAGCAAATAGCTAGAGAACAGGCTCTCCTTATTTCAAAACCTTTCAAACTCTAAATCTGAGGCAGCAGTGCAGTCCCATGCCCTGAATCATCTCATCCTTAGCGTCATCAGCAAGAGGGGAGGATGGTGAGAATCAAAGGTTTGATTTATTGAACTCGAGCATTAAAACTTCCCCACCACCGATGCAGAGCAAAAGTTGCTCTCAAGCCAGGAGAGACCATTTAAAGGCTCGCCGCCGGTTTCAGAACACAGATAAATTTCCCAATCCTCTGCAAAGACAGCACTGAAGAATTACTGGACAGCACGCCGGAGGCAGGGACCTGAGGGCAGGCCATCTTGCTATGCCGGGAGGAGAGGGTCACTGTTGCTAAGAGTCATTCATCCTTACTGTCAGTCTCGAAGAAATCTCTTCCTGATCGCTTCACCAACTCTCCCCACTAGTAGAGAATGGAGCTACTCCCAAAGATGTAAGTAAACAGGAGACTGTTTACATCCCCTGTGGGTGGGAGAGGCCCCACCCACTCTATCCGAGGAGAGGGCAGTGAAAGAGGATAAGGCCCAGAGGGATAAGGGTGAGGGAGCGTGGCAAGGAGAGGAGTTCAGATCAGGACAGGGAATGGAGGAGGGCAAGGAGTGAAGGGCACAACCCACAGCCTGGGAAAGAGAGAGGCATGAAACCCAGCGTGTCAGGTGGACGGATCACGGAACAGGGGTCCAGCGCAGGTTAAGGAAGGAGGGCCCAAGGGTAGGGGTGGGAAAAAGAGAAGAGGAGGAGGAGGAAGAGCGCGTGTGAAGAGTGTTAAGAAAACGACAGGCCAGAGCAGGGAGGGGAAAAGCAGGCCGAGGGAGAGGGTGAAAGGTGAAAAACGAGGGTATGAGGAAAGAGGGTCCGGGGCGCTGGGGAGTTGGGGAGACGATGGAGCGACGGGTAGAGCAGCTTGGGCCGAGCCGCGGGGGTGGAATCCAGACGCCGGGCGGGGGAGGGGGCGGCGGGACGGTGGGTGGGGGCCACCAGGCGGCGCCGGAGACCACCAAACTTTACAACGAGCGAGCCTGCTTCCTGGAGGGAGTGCAGACAAGGACCAGGAGCGGGAGCCCAGCCTCGGGGCCCGGGGCACGGCGCCGCCCGCCCCTCCCCGGCAGTGCCTCCCGACCCCCTGCCCTCCGCTGGGACAGGGCCTGAGGCCCCCCCGCCGCCCGGGACCCCTCCCCCACGCTGCCCCGGGACCCTCGCCCCAGGACCGCGGGGTCTCCTCCTGGCCCCGCCACCCGACCCGGCGAGAACAGGCCCGGCGGGCAAGGCGGCGGCGGCCCGAGGGAGGCCTGGCCCGGCAGCGGGGAGGAGGAGGGCGCGGCGCAGCCTGAGTTTCCCACCTTTTCTCCTGGCCCAGACGCGGCTGGGGCGGACGGGACCTCTCGTGCTCTGCCTCCTCCTCCTGCTTCATGGAGCCATGCGCCTGGGTGGGGGCTCCCGAGAGAAGCTGGCCCGCGGGCGGGCCGGACGCGCGGCGCGGACGGGGCGGGGCGAAGGAGGCCGGCTGGCGGAGGAGGAAGCGGCGGGGCGGCGGCGGCGGCCGGGAAGAACTAGAGGTATTCCCCGGGCGGCTGGAGGACTGAGTCGAGCCGGGACCCGAGTCCTCCGGTATCCCAGCAGCCACCGGAGGCAGTGAGGTAATGGAGGAAGAATGTAGGGAGTCCTCCAGTGGACCACACTCCCTCTAGCGAGCCGCGGAAACCATAGAGATCTGGGCTCAGCCGGAGGGCCGGCCCACTGCTGTCACGTGGCCTCCATCCGTGTGCTTTATTGGCTGGTGCTGGCTCTACGGGGTTGAATTTTGGACGCTGCCTGCCATTCGTGGGGCGAGTTTCAGGCAGTTGGAGTAAAGAGAGACATCGGGGGAAAACCGCGAGAAGGCCAGCCTCCCTGGCCGGGCGCAGAGCTAGCGGACTAGGGCGCCCGGCTGTCAAGCTGGCCGGCGCAGTGCACGCTGGGCCGCCCCGGACCGGTCGCAGAGCCCGCCGGGAGTCGTAGTCCGGGATGGGCGCGCAGCATTGTCCGCTGCGCAGCTCGGGATCCGGATCGGGTTGTCGGCTGGGTTGCTGCCGGGTGCCGTAGCGCGTTGGCCATCCAGCATTGAGCTGCCCGCGGCTGTTCTCCCTAAGCACCCTCGCTCACGTTGCCTCGCCTCGCCTGACCGGCCGCAGCCTTCGAGACCAGCTTTAAATCGAGCCGACGACTGCCCGGCCCCGCCCGCGGGGAGGCGCGTGGGGTTCGGTGCCAGCCGTTCTCCCCTGGCCGGGCCAGCCTCTTGATGCACCGGGAACGGGCGCGCCCACCCGATTCGAGGGGCGGCCGGGCCCCATCTGTGTCTTTCGCTCCCGAGCCCCCAGCTAGAGTTGGCTTCAGCGGAATGCCTACTGTGCAGGATTATTCAACAAGCCGATTGATCACATTCTTCAGCTCTAGCAAGGCAAAGTCGTCACTCAAAAAGAACATTACAAATTTTTTTTGAAAGAAACTTCGGGGTAAATTTAATTTAAAATACTGATTTTTGATAACATTTGATCTTATGACAGCATTTATTTTTAATTACAGATAGGGTTACACTAAAAGTCATTTCTGACCTGCTTCCTTACCCTTATGGCTCCAAAATAAACTGTTAGGCCCTGAAGCAAAGGCGAACCTTGTTCTAGAGCAGTGTCTTGTATTAAAAAACGGCCTCATGCTCACATATAGGCTGTTTTGTGTTTTGCTTTTCTGTTGATGCACAAAGGAATCCTTAATATGTCTGTCCTCAAAGACCAAAGACAAGTATCTAGTAAAAAATGCAAATCATATCTAACAGTGAAGCTTTCCAGCAAAAACCTTCTGCTCTCGAATGCATAATTATGCCAGCATAAGATCTACTACTGCAGACTTTTAGCATAATTACCTATAGGCAGCAAAACCCTAGTCGATTGAGTGTCTGGTGCCTCTCAGACCTGGACTTCTCAAAGAGAATGGGCAAGGAGGACAAACAGGAAGAGACAACTATGCTTTGTGGAACAAGAGATGACTTTAAAAATAATTCTATAGCAGTCTTCCTAATTCCTGTCACAGACTTGATGTGCTTATCTGCTGTTGAGGCCACGGTTACCAGTTTCTAACCTTCTCTGTCTGAAAAACTAGAAATTAGATGCTCATATGGCCTAGAGCCAGAAGTGCAGGAGGCAGAAAGCCAGGGGCCAGTTTTTTTTTGTTTGTTTCTGAATAAGGCGGCCAAATCCTGACTTAAAATAATCAGAATAAATGTTACAGAGTGATGGTCTTCCCAGCTGAGAGCCTTAAAATATGGCATCTGGAAGAAGGCCTTAGTCTATTGCTCCCAGGGTGGTACTAGATAGTCATTAAACAGCCCACAGATAAGGGAGTTACTGCTCCCTGGTTATTGGGCTGCCAGGAATTAAATGATGGAACTAAGTTTCACTTGAAACATTCCCAAATTAAAACAAAAACAAGCCTGGCTTTGAGCTGTTGAAAAGGCATTTTACTGAGAGATCCAGATGCTGTTGCTGTTCTTAAATGATGTTGAAAGGCAAAGGGTCAGGACTTTCAAAAAGTCTCGTTGAGGTTACCTCACATAAGCAACAGCCTAAACTGATGCAAAAATAAACAGAATGAAATTTTGAACAGGAGAAAGAAACTAAACTGAGGGCAGTGTATGCCATAAATATGGAAGAGGCTGTCTCTTATTTATCTTCTCATTTCCTGTACATAATACCGAAACCTGGTGTGTAATAGGCGTACAATTATTTGTAGCCCAGCTGAATAAAGAAGGAAACCGCCGGGCGCGGTGGCTCACGCCTGTAATCCCAGCACTTTGGGAGGCCGAGGCGGGCGGATCACAAGGTCAGGAGATCGAGACCATGGTGAAACCCCGTCTCTACTAAAAAATAGAAAAAAATTAGCCGGGCGCAGTGGCGGGCGCCTGTAGTCCCAGCTACTCGGGAGGCTGAGGCAGGAGAATGGTGTGAACCTGGGAGGCGGAGCTTGCAGTGAGCCGAGATTGCGCCACTGCACTCCAGCCTGGGCGACAGAGCGAGACTCCGTCTCAAAAAAAAAAAAAAAAAAAAAGAAGGAAACCAACAAGCAGTGGGCAGATAATATACTTGGGAAAGGAGAACTGCAGAGAAGCTGGGTGGCTCAAGGCCTCTGCATGATCCTCAAATGTCACTCCAATCTGCTGTGACGTAGCTGTACCACTCATCCGAATACCCCAGAACAAATTATCTGCCTCCCCCATGTACAACTTTTATCATTTCTTATCTTGAATGGTTATGTAGTAGTGGCTGGGCACGGTGACTCACGCCTGTAATCCCAGCACTTTGGGAGGCCGAGGCGGGCGGATCACCTGAGGTCAGGAGTTCGAGACCAGCCTCAGCATGGAGAAACCCCGTCTCTACTAAAAATACAAAATTAGCCGGGCATGGTGGCGCATGTCTGTAATTCCAGCTACTTGGGAGGCTGAGGCAGGAGAATTGCTTGAACCTGGGAGGCAGAGGTAGCGGTGAGCCGAGATCGCACCATTGCACTCCAGCCTGGGCAACAAGGGTGAAATTCCATCTCAAAAAAAAAAGAATATGTAGTAATGGTTGAGAGTCCACTGGGGAATCAGCCTGCATAGATTCAGATCCCAGCCCTGACAGTGAATACCTGTGAACAAGTTACGTCAGTGACTCAGGCTTATCATCTGTAAAAGGAGGATTATAGCATTCCTGCCTCATAGGGATGTTATGAGATTTAAATACCAGTAAGTCTATACATTATAAACCTTATCAGATTGGCGTGGTGAAAATGCTCAGTAACTGAGCCTCGTGGGCATTCGAATGTTGAGATCAGCATGAAGTTAGCCTGTATACTGGGCATACACATTCTTCTGGATTTGCTCCTTTTGTGAGCAGTCAATGAGCTAAAGGCATTTGCTAACCAGTAGGAATGAAGTAAGGTTTCAGACAGGATCTTGGTGGGTGATGTCGATTTTATGTGTCTCATTTGTCCCATTTCTCAACTTGAAGTGAGTCTGGCCTTGGTCTGCATCTGTGCTCTCCCCTCCACAAAAGGCAGGCCCGGAGAGACTCCGGAGATGGCCCATGTGTCCTGTGTGTCCTCCACCGCTGTGTCCACTTCACTTCAAAGGTATGATCAGCACTGATCTGATTAAAAGAACTCTTTGTATATACAGATGTCTACATGGGTTGAGTATTTCAGAGGTATAAAGTAGTTTAAATACACAAATGAGCCCTCCACTGTTTTGTTTGTTAAGCCAGATTACTCTGAGGAGGTTTTCTTTTTCTTTTCTTTTTTTTTTTGAGACAGGATTTTGCTTTGTTGCCCAGGCTGGAATGTGGCTGGAGTGCCGTGGGAGCACGATCATGGCTCACTGCACCCCCCTTGACCTCCTTGGCTCAAGCAATCCTCCTGTCTCAGCCTCCCAAATAGCTGAGATCACAGGTACGCATAACCACAACCCAGCTACTTTTTGTATTTTTTTGTAGAAAATGGGGTCTCCTTATGTTGTCCAGACTGGTCTCCAAACTCCTGGGCTCAAGCAGTCCTCCCACCTTAGCCTCCCAAAGTGTTGGGATTGCAGGCATTAGCCACTGCGCCCAGCCTGAGAAGATGTGTTTTAAACTTTGTATGTCACTTGGGTATAGAATTTAACATTTAAAAAGTTCTAAACTTTACTAGCGGCCAGGCACAGTGGCTCACGCCTGTAATCCCAGCACTTTGGGAGGTGGAGGCAGGCAGATCACAAGGTCAGGAGATCGAGACCATCCCGGCTAACACAGTGAAATCCTGTCTCTACTAAAAATACAAAAAATTAGCCGGGCGTGGTGGCGGGGGGATGTAGTCCCAGCTACTCAGGAGGCTGAGGCAGGAGAATGGCGTGAACCCGGGAGGCAGAGCTTGCGGTGAGCTGAGATCGTGCCACTGCACTCCAGCCTGGGCGACACAGCCAGAGTCCGTCTCAAAAAAAAAAAAAACTAGTACTCCCAATGAAATAAATGCAACAGAGTTTGAGAGCTCAAGTCACATATTTATTCTGTAAATACTCTCTAAATGGCTACTCTGTAACCAAACATTTTATATTGCTTTTTTATCGAGAGAGGACATACACATTTAGGATTCACACATCTCAACTGTACAGCTTGACCAGTTCTTACATTAGTATGCATCCATGTAACCATCATCCAATTTAAAATGTGGAATATTTCTAGCAGCTCAGAAGGTTCTCTTGTGCCTTCTCCCAGTTCCTAATCCCCCCTCAAAAGATACCCATTATTTTGACTTCTATCACCGTGGTATAATTTTGCCTGCTGTTGAATTCATGGAAGTTCAAATCGACTCCTACAGTATATACTCCTTTGGCTCTGGTCTCTTTTGTTCACCATTATGTCCAGGAAATTCATCCCTTTGCTTACGTGCAACTATAGTTCATTCTTTTTCTCTGATGCACAGAATACTATGCCAT